GAAAACAATGTGCTTCTGTGTAAAGACAGATAAGATTTGAAAGTTTAGAACAAACAATATATATATAACTAGTCATCTTCCAACCCATCAGGGCCTTCCCAAGGCCCAGAAGTGAGAGGAAAATATCCTCATAGCCCAAATGCAACCCTCCTTAGCTCTCGTTGGTTCCTGGAGAAATTCCCACAGACACCAAGAATCCTGGTAACCGGGTGGGCATGTGTGTGGCTCATCCTTGGCAATGAAATTCCAAAGGGGCCGTATGCAGTGACTACTGCACGGCCAAATCTTCCCCTCCCCCAGTTGTTAAGCCCCCTTGGAAAACATACACACACAACTCACCTACACAATACAAAACAGCAGCCTCACTAGCTGCCTTGACTCCCTTTTCTCTTGTTCTTCTCTTCCTCCCCACAAATAACACACGCTCTGAGGAAGATGGCGCGCTTCAGAAGGAAAGGGAGGACTGAGCCAGTAAGAACCAGGTGAGACCCTCACTTGTCACCTCACCTTCAAATAAGACACAGTGGGAGAAGTACACAAAAGCTACTTCCCAGCAGGCAGGCAGGCAGGATTAATCAACAAAGAAGAGGGCAGCAGAACAGTGGTGAAATCTAAGCTGGTATTCTTCACTTCCTTGAGGAGACTTCTCTTGTTTATAAACAAACATGGTGCTCTTGGGCCAGGGGAGCCTAGGGCCCTAGGGGAGCACTGGCTCTTGGAATTATTAAGACCTCCAAGGTGATGCTGGCCCACTCCCTGTCTCCTAGACCAGGAGCAGGGCCCCAGGGTGGGTGCAAGTTGCCCTGAGGACTGACGGTGGATGAGACCAGAGCTGGGACTAGAAGCCAAGTTTGCTGACTTTCAGCACAAATCTTTCCTCTCACAACCCAACTGAAATATTTACCCAGCTCCTACCCTGGACCACTCCACAGTGCCAGGAAACAAATCCTCAACCAACTTGAACCCTCCATTAACGGGATCATTTTTCTGCATTCCGCTTTTGAAAAGCAGACCCCAAAGAAAGGCAAGCTTATGTTTAAGAATTTATGGCCTTTTGTTTTTTTTCCATTTGTTTTGTAACCGTTGGGGGACATCTTGAGGACACCCCATATTCCTTCCGGTCTCCTCTACTTGAACACCCCGACCAGGGCACACAGACTTCAGGCTTCAAATCACAGCCCTAGGATGCAGTCAGAGCTTCAGCCGTCAAACTAACACTCTGTTTTAAGCATCAGACTGTACTTTCTAAAAACTAACATTTGTAAAAGATGTACAATGTGGAAAAAAGGGTTTTTTTCTGCATAGCTACCAGTTATTTAGAAAATTTGTTGAATTAGGACTCTCTTCTTCCCCATGCAGTGCATTGGAGTTTTGGTCTACTAACCCCATGAATGGTGGGAAGTTCTGGATCCGTTTAGCCAACAATCTGGGCCTCGGCCAAAATTCTGTCCGGAGATGATGAGGCAATAACCGCTCCTTGGAATAAATGCTTCAGGAGACGACATTCTCCCAAAAAGCCACAGAGCAACCTCTGCATGCCCCCTCCAGGGCACACAAACACACTCAGCCCAGTTTGAAATTCATTCGTGCCTCGGCCTTGAGTGGTTTGTAAAGAAGACAAAGTATTTTAAAGGAGGCAAGCAGCCCAGTCCTAAATGAGCTCCCGTGTTCCATGCAGATATCAACCAGCTTCTGACAAGGCCAACCTTGCTACCGCACTAAGTATCTCTTCCTTAATTCTTCCTAGGCGGAGCCAAGGGAGTTAGGAGGAAGACAGCTGGCAAGATAGCAGCATGTCAAATTGGTCCTCACTCCAACAGCTTTGCCCCGTGGGTACAAGCCTGTCCTGATGCCCACTAACCTCCATCCCCAGGGGACAACACTGGTCAGCTCCCCTGCTTATCCCAGGGCCTCTGACCTCCTTCAACACAACCCACCTTTAGTGCATGCACTCAGGTGCCAGGTACTGCAAAAAGAGCCTTGGGAGGGGGTGAGAGGTTGGAGAGGGAAATAAGCCACAATCACTGCCCTAAAAACGTTCACAGCCGATGGTGACTCAGACATCTATAAGCACCGGCTGGCTGTCCCTAGGCGCCACCAACTTGTCTTAAGGCCTCTGGCTGGAAGGAAGACACTCCCTCTCTATCCTCAGAACACAGTGATACGTCTTCCTTAAACGTTCTTCTATGTGACAGAGGCTTATAAAACCATGAAAAGATTGCTTACAGGAAATGGAACTTGTGGATAAAATCATAGGACAGCATACCAGAGGTCTTGGGAGCTTGAAAGAGATCCATTTAGGACAACTGTCAAGGACAGGCAGAGGTAGAAAGGGCGTTGGACCAAAAACCCAGAGCCTGTTTTCTTCACCAGCTCACCTCATGTCCTTGGGCAGGGCACACGCCCTCTGCAGTTTTAGAGATGAAGGGAAGGCTGGAGCAGCGCTTTTCATTGGCAGAAAAACCCATATATTTTCCAAATTATATTTTGTCTAGAAGCTCCACGTATAAAACAAATGAAAGGGGAGTTGCTCATGTTGAAGCAGGGCTGGGGAGCCCAGAGCCCACCCACTCAGGCTGGGTGGTCCTCAGAGAAGCCAGTTTGAAAACCACAGGAGTAAAGTCTAAGGGCCCCTCAGGAGCTCTTACGCCCTCTCTTAGGTACCTGGGACGACAGAAGGAGGGAGTCATCATTGATTTGACACCCTCCGTGGTGCTTGGCAATTTATATATCATGTGTCATTGAAATCTTTGCAACAGCAACATGAGGTTAACTAGCTTGTGAACTAGGATCTCTCGTGATCTGAGTTGTGAACTGGGATCAGCTGGCAAGAGGCAGCACTGGGATTTGAACCATGGGTTGTCTGACTCCAAACACAGTATTCCTACTCTTTGCTAAGAGGTTTGTGGAAATTTGGGCTGAACTGATAATTTCCCTGAATGGTAAATATAAATATATATGCATATACGCATAGGGAAAAACATCTTGAAGAATATACCTCCCAAAATTACCATTTGCTATCTCTGTGTGGTGATAATGTGGATGATTTTCAGTCTATCTAGATTTTCTGATGTTCCTATAATTAATAAAGTATTATTTATGTGAAAAAGGCACTGCTTATTAAAGTGGTTTTAATAATTCACAGCTGACACTTCCATGGGGGGTTTCTATAGAGAATTAGGGACTCGGGGGCTAGGTGGTACTCCTGACCTTTCGGAGCTGACAGTGGGAATAACAACCCCAAATTTCACAAACTCTCCCTTGGGGCAGAGGGTCCTGGGCTGACCAGAGGGGTAGCTATTACGGTCATTTAAGTTCTCTGAAGCTTCACTTTTGGGGAGTATAGTTGTTTTAGAAAGTAACAGCAAGTCCCTGAGACCACCCTCCGCAAATGTGTGCCTTTCCACACCCCTCAGCTGCCTTTATGTAAGGGGAACGGTGTTCATAAAATCAGAGATGGTCACATGGACCCCAGATCAGAAGCCCTCACTCCCCAGTGCTCCTGCCCCAGCCCAGTAGGACCCATACAGAGTGAGCCCTCCAGCCAGGCCAACTAAACTCTCCAGCCCCACCCTGAGGCTCCTCAGAAGCCACCTGCAAATACGAAGATCAGAGCACCACCTCAGGAGAGAAAGGACCACCCTGAAGTCAAGACCGGCTTCGGTCAGGCATGAGGTGGGGCGAGGCGTGCCAGCTGCTTCCCTGCGTTATCATACCAGCTCTGCCCGCAGAGATCTTCCACATATTTAACACGCCATCTCCAGGTACAGCACAAACCCCAGCAGTCTACATGAAATGAACTTGGGGGCTGAGAGGCAGGGACACTGGCTTTGGCAGGAAAGCCCAGAATGGTGGCCAGGATACAATGCTGAGAACGACTTCAGAAGCCTGCCCCTGACTGCTTTGAAAATCAGTAAAGGATAGGAGATGGGAGATGTTTCAAAACGTGGGGAGTGATGGTGCACAATTAACCAGCGTCCAGAGCCGTCCTTCTCAGACAAAGAAAAAGCCCGAGGCGCACCACCCACCCCGACTCTTCCGACCAATTTCAGCCCCGGCTTCCTGAGCAGGTGGCAAACCTGTCCTGACTCAGGCGAGAGCGCTTAGGGAAGCAGAGGTTCTGGACAGCCACGTCTAGCTGCAAAGGCGAATAAATCCACGAGGGTGGGAGCTCTTCAAAGGTCTCCTCAGCTCTGGAGCTTGACAGAGAAAAACGCCCCCCACGCCCACCCGCAATGACTTCACACAGGCCTCACCCGAGATGACTGCGCTCTCCAGCAAGGCCTGGGAGGTGTCATCGCCACCATCCGGGTGGCTACCCGTCACTTGGAAATTTCCCGTGAATTCTTGGAGATGCCTGCCCCTATGTCCCCCTCAAACCCCCGCCAAAGGAATCGGACTCGGGGACGCGAGGCGTCTACCCCAAGATTCATATAGGTCCTCCTAAGTCCCACTTGCCTTTGCCGCTGTCAATTCTGAAAAACCTAAAAAGGAGTATTTGTTCAACCCCGTTAGGAGCCCCGCCTCCATCTCGCCGCCCTTCTCCGCGCTCACCCCTCCGGGCAGCGCCCCAGGCTCGTCTGGACTCGGTCTGTCATTTTCACCTGACAAAAGCGTGGCGGCGGCGGGCGACCCCGGCCAGCGCTTCTCCCAGGGGAAAGGGACGCGTGTCCTCGCGGAGCGCCGGTCGGGCCCCCCTCAATCCCCCACCCGGGGGAACAAAGCGCAGCCCCCGGCGGAGCCCCGGTGCGCCCCCGCGCTCGCCGCCCCGCCTGCCGGTCCCCCGCGCCCGGGCCCGGCCCGCAGGGCAGCCGCCGCCGCGTCCTGTGCCGCCCGCTCGCCGGCGTCCTCGGCAGCTACTGTATCTGCTAAATTTAGCGGCCGCGGGGTATTAATAGCCGGGGCGACCGGGGCCGGGCGCTGCAGGGGCGGCGCGCAGCGCGGGGGCCGGGGGTGGAGAAGGAGGGCGAGGAAGGGGCGCGGGGAAGAAGGCCACTTACACCACCAGCCTGGAGATGATCCATGACACCATGGCGGGCGGCAGGGCGGGCGCGCGCGGTTCGGCTCGGCTGCGGGCGGCTGCGGCGCTCCGGGCACGTCCGTCCGCGCACGGCCGCCGCCGCCACCAGACTAAGCGCGCCCGCTGCCCTGCCCGGCGCTCGAGCGTCGCGCAGCCGCGGCACGTTCCGGCGGCGGCGGCGGCGGCCCCAGCCCCCCGGGGCTCGGCGGGCCCGCGGCGATTGGGCGGCGAGCCGGTCGGGTGCTCACGGGACCCGCCCCGCCCAGACCGCCCCGGCCCGCGGCTGAATGCGGGCGGTTCCTCCGCGCGCCCTGATGCTCGGGCGCTCGGATGGAGCCCTGGGGAGGCCCAGATGACAGGGCGGAGACCCGGGTGCCGCCGCACCCACAGTGCTATGGTGGGGAAACTGAGGCCTGCACCTGGACCTTGGGGATCTGTCTACACCTGTTCTGGTTGGGATACAGTCGTCCTTCACTCAGAAGGCTCTTACCTGCGTCCACACCCGACTCCTCCAATCTGTCCCCTACATGGCATTATCAGCATAAGAAACAAATCTGGGCATGTGTCTCCCCGAGTTAAGATTCTAAAGAGTCCCTGCTTGGTCTGGTCCCTGCCTAACCCATTGCCACCACCATTCCCCCAAATCCCTCTGGCTCTTTTCCCCTCGGGCATTTGGGACTTGCAGATGTGCTGTTTCCTCTCCCCTGTCATACGCTCTATGCCTCACCTCCTTCAAGGCTCAGATAAAGGTTATTTCCCAAGGAAGGCCTTTCCTAGGGCGCTGCTCCAGCATTTCCGTGTGGAAGTGGCTCAGGGCTACAATCTGGCCAGGAGGAAGCTAGAAGCTGCTATTGCCTGGCACCAGAGCCCTGCTGAGCCATTTTGGAGCCTTAGGCAAAAGGCTGAGGCTTTTCATATGTATGTGTGTGTGTATGTACTTATGATATATAGATGCATCCTATACACATTTTTAATATATTTTTCAGTATTATTAATCTTGATTACTGCATTCTATAGCATTCCCTTAAATTTCCCCCCTGAGGCCAGTGCCTCACTCTCTTCACCCTGGTCTTGGCCCTTATTTTATAAGTCCTCGCACACCATTCTGTTGCTTGGAAAACCTTTGTCCCCTGCTCCTTGGCTCTGCCGCCGCCTTCTCACCCCGCTCCATGGTGCTCTCTCAGAGCACTGCTCTCCTTTGCTGATGCTCACAGTCATGTATAATTCAGGGTCAGACGTGAGAGCTAGCCTGAAGCCTTTTCAAAAGGAACCCTGCCCAAAGACAGCTTCCTAGCAGAGGCAAGGAGACCTCAGACCTTGGCATGAATGGGCTGGAAATGTACCAGTAGAATGACTCTGTGTGTGTGTGTGTGTGTGTATGTGTGTATGCACGTATGTGTGTATGAGAGAGAGACAGACAGACAGAGAGAGGGAGAGAGAGAAACAGAAGAAAGACCTTGCCCACAATAAGGGGACTGCAGATCAGACATCCTCTATGATAAGGGGTCTCCAAAGAACCTATAAAATACCTGTAATATAGTTTTTTGTTTTTTTTAATGCTGTCTTGACTCAGTTTTGAGGCCCTGTTTAGAGGTTGGTTAGTTCCCCTTCTTAGGCAGCCGATTAAGTCCACATGCCCAACCACTCCCTTATCAGGCTCTCACACTTCAGACCACTATAGACCTGCCTTAATTGCCCCAGAGCCCGGTACCAGACAACCAGGGACAGCTCCTGTGCCCTAGAGCCCACTGAGATTATTCAAACTAGCCAGTAAATCTGCTTGTCCTGCCTTGCCCTTTCCTTCCACTGAAGGAAACCTCAGTTCCCCTCTCTCCGTCTGCCTTGTAGCCATCCCAGTGTTTACCCTAAGTGACCCTGCAAGGCGTACTGTGCTCTGTCCAGAGAACGGTGGGTGTAACAAACTGTAAAACTTTCTGGCTTCTCGCTCTTGATCTGTGTCTAGCCTCACCATGCCTCACCCAAGGTAATATGGTCAAAACAATACCCCTACAAGAAAAAGCTTGGAATATCCACTGGAAAGATCAGGACAGTACCTAGCAAATAGGACCTTCCTAAGAACTCCCCTCCCCTTCATCCACGCCCCTCCCCTCACTCCACGGAGAGGTCAGAAATTTCTGCTAGTGATCTTAGGGGTGGAGGGAGGTGGAATATTGTGGTTCAGAGATCCTTTCGGTGGGAAAATAAAGAAGCGGATCACATGCTGTTTTCCTCTTGGAGCATGCCCGCTGTTCCTGTAAGTGGAATTCTCAGGTTTGACTGCTGCACAGAACTGGACATTTGAATTAATGAAATGAGACTATTAATGGGGCTCAATGTCTGGAGGTGTTTCTGTTATCTGAAGAGGACCAGAAAACTAGTGGGACCAACCCCAGATTCCACTTGAGGGTTGGGAAAAAATATGTTCAACAGAGCAAGTTTCAACAGGTGGAAGGGAGAGAAAAAAGTTGCTTTTTTACTTTATTCTATCTCTTTCAGTGTAACTGTTACACGTGTTACATCTTTCCAATCCACTTTGTCCTTGACTCTGGAAAACGTGAGGCCAGAGAATGAACAGTCTTCTAGACAATGGGGCTCCTACAGCCCTATCAGCTAGTTCTCTTGCAGTCTTTTTTTCACATGAACTGCTGTTATGGTGGGTGCTTATTATCTGTGTTTGCCTCCTTTCTTCTGGAAAGACCTCTCCATTTTGTATTGGGGAATGATTCTGCCCACACTCCAATCTTTTAAGTGTCATTTTCTCACAGGTCCTTCCTACCTTGATCGCTTCATGAGTGATCACTGGACACAAGCTGGATCAAAGTTCTCCCGTAGGATTTTGAAAATTAAAGATACTAAGGAGAGACGTCCGCTTCCATCCATTTTTATGAAATTCTAGATGAGACAAAACCTTTTACATTCTAGCTGCTTCTGCCTCCCCGAATTCTATCATAGTGACAGAAAGCACATCAGAGGTTCCCAGATGCCAGGAATGAGGAAGGAAATTGATTATAAAAAGGCAAGAGGGAATTTGGAGTTGGTGGAAAAATTCTATACGCTGACTGGGGTGGTAATTACCAACCATATACATTTGTCAAAACTCATCAAACTTTACACATAAAATTAGTGAATTTTATTGTATGTAAATTATATCCCAGTAAAGCTAATTTTAAAAATCAGAAAAAAATTTGTGATATGCTATGTGAAACTCAGTAGTTCTGGGTAATCATGTTTTGTATTGGTCTTTTTTTATTGATTGATTTTAAAAATTTGTATCTTAAGAAAATAAGGCTTTCAATCTGCCTTGAAAATGTTTTTTCCCAGTTTATAATTTTTTCTTCAGTCATTCTTCATGGTGCTCTTTTCTTTTCAGAGTGTCCAAAATTTTATATGGTCATATTTATGTATTTTTTATGGCTTCTGAAGTTTGTATTTTGCTTAGATAGGCAAAATCAAAAACATTTTAAATTTTACATGAAAATTACATATTTAAAATATTTTTTAATTAAAACATCTCCCCGTGTTCTTGGTTTTGTTGGGTTTTTTTAATTGCAGTAACATTGGTTTATAACATTATATAACTTTCAGGCGTACATTGTAATAGATTTTGAGTTTTCTGTAGATTACATCATGGTCACCACCCAAAGACTAATTACAATGCATCACCACGCATGTGTGCCTAATCACCCCTTCACCCCGCTTCCTTCCCCATTCCTCCTTTCCCTCTAGTAACCACCAATCCAATCTCTGTTGCTAGGTGTTTGTTTGTCATTGTTTTTATCTTCTACTTATGAGTGAGATCATGCGGTATTTGACTTTCTCCCTCTGACTTATTTCACTTAGCATAATACCCTCAAGGTCCATCCATGTTGTCACAAATGGCCAGATTTCGTCATTTCTTATGGCTGAGTAGTATTCCATTGTGTATACACACCACATCTTATTTATCCATTTGTCCCTTGATGGGCACCTAGCATGCTTCCAGTTCTTGGCTATTGTGAATAATGCTGCGATGAACATAGGGGTGCATGTATCTTTATGCATTTGTGTTTTCAAGTTCTTTGGATAAATACCCAGCAGTGGAATAGCTCTAGTCTTAATTTTCTGAGGAAACTCCATACTGTTGTCCATATTGGCTGCACCAGTTGGCACTCCCACCAGCAGTATATGAGAGTTCCCTTCTCTCTACATCCTCTCCAAACTTATTGTTTCCTGTCTTGTTAATTATAGCCAGTCTGATGCGAGTGAGGTGATATCTCATTGTAGTTTTGATTTGCATTTCCCTGATAGTTAATGATGTTGAACATCTTTTCATGTGCCTGTTGGCCATCCATATGTCTTCTTTGGAGAAATCTCTATTCAGATTCTTTGCCCATTTTTTAATTTGGTTGTTAATTTTGTTGTTGTTGAGATGTATGAGTTCTTTGTATATTTTGGATATTAACCCCTTACCTGATATATGGTTTGCAAATATCTTCTCCCAATTGTTAGGTTGTCTTTTTGGGGGTTTTTTGATGGTTTCCTTTGCTGTGCAGAACATTTTTAGTTTGATGTAGTCCCATTTGTTGATTTTTCCTATTGTTTCCCTTGCCCGGTCAGACACATTATTTGAAAATATGCTGCTAAGACCGATGTCGAAGAGCATACTGCCTATGTTTTCTTCTAGAAGTTTCATGGTTTCAGATGTTAAATTAAAGTCTTTAATCCATTTTGAGTTGATTTTTGTGCATGGTGTAAGACAATGGTCTATTTTCATTCTTTTGCACATGGCTGTCCAGTTTCCCCAACATCTTTTATGGAAGAGACTCTCCTTTCTCCCTTGTATATTCTTGGCTCCCTTGTACAAAATTAGCTGTCCATAGATGTGTGGGTTTATTTCTGGGCTCTTGATTCTGTTCCATTGATCTGTGTGTCTGTTTTTGTGCCAGTACCATGCTGTTTTGGTTACTATGGCTTTGTAGCATATTTTGAAATCAGGGAATGTGATACCTCCAGCTTTTTAATTTTTCCTCAGGATTCCTTTGGCTATTTGGGGTCTTTTGTTGTTCCATATAAGTTTTAGGATTCTTTGTTCTATTTCTGTGAAAAATGTTGTTGGAACTTTGATAGGGATTGCATTGAATCTATAGATTGCTTTAGGAAGTATGCACATTTTAATGATGATAATTCTTCCAATCCAAGAACCTAGAATATCTTTCCATTTC